TAAAAAGATCCAGCATTGAAACAAAGGGAGACCTGGGGCCAGGAGAGCCACCAGGGACGAGGCCTGGAGCCCTTCCTGCACGTGAGTGCAGTGGTCACGCATGGCTGCCACCCTCTGCACCCCTAGCCTCACATCCATGTAACACGTATTTACTGAGCACGTAGTATGCACCCCACCAGTGCGAGGGGTTCAGAAGACATAGCAGAGAACAAGCCAGACAGGATCCCTACCCTCACAAGCCAGGCAGAGGAGACAGATGACAGAGAAGTGAACAATATATTTATTTACATATTCATGGATTTGGTTCATTTATTCAACAAATGATTGCTTAGTGCCTACTAGACACTGGAGATACTGCCGTGAACAAAATAGAAATGGTCACCCACCAACATGGAGTTTACATTCTACTGAGGGGCAGGGGGCATCAAATAATAAGCAAATAAAAATGTATTATAATATGATAAATACAATATAAATATGTCAGACCATAAATTTCATATGTGCTCTGAAGAATATAAGTGAGTTGTGATGGTAATCTCCTTCCTTCCTCCAATAGGTAAGTCAAGAAGGAGACCCCAAAAATGAGAAGGATCCAGCTATTCAAAGAGTGCAGGGAAAAGCATTTCAGGCAGAGGGACTAGCTTATGTGAAGGCCCTTAGCCAGGCCCTCCACTAAGCATTATACTTGGATTATTTCTTCCCAACCACTCTATTATTATCATTCATAACAGACAATGTACATACTATACACATGTACATACTATACACATACATCCCTTAACTCTCTTAACTGGCAGAGCTGGGGTGAGAACCCAAGTCCTCGTTAACATCAAAGCCTAAGCCTCAATCATGATACTCAGACCCTCTGTTCTCTCTCTAGGAAAGACAAGCATCATCTGGAGAGCAGGAGCAGGTAGCAGGCACCTGCAAGAGTGGGGGGGTTGAGGGATATCCCGGCCCTGCAACCTGAGCTATAGGCACAACAGGATCAGGGCTTCCTGTGGGACCACGCAGTGCAGACAGCCACTCTCTGGACTAGAGCCAGTTCCCAGATTTAAGCTGTGATTATCGCGTCACTGTCAATAACAGGTTCTGCCATAGCCATTAAAGAATGCCGTGCCCAACTTTCCCTCCCCCTTTCCTCGAGAGGGAATCACTGGGGCATGGGGACACATGGAGAGAGTGGTAGCAACTGGGGCATGACAGCAACAACGAAAACAGCAAAGACTTTTATAATGCTTATCGCATTATAAGGCACCGTTCCAGGGGCTTTGCATATACTAATTTGTTTAATATTCAGAACGACCCTATAATATCATCCTCATTTTACAGATGAGGAAACTGAGACTTAAAGGGTCTTATCATTTTCCCAACATGGCACAGTTAATAAGTGGCAGAGCTGGGATTTGAACCCAGATAGTAGGCTCCTGAGCCTACACTTTTTTTTTTTCTTTTTTAGACTTTGTATTATAAAATAAGACAAACAAAAAACCACACAGAACGAATTTACAGTTTGGTAAATTATTATAAAGCAAATGCCCTTGCGATCACCCTACCGGTCAAGAAGTAAAACCGAACACCCCAGAAGCTCCTCTCTGTGCTCCCTCCCAAGCACAGCCCCTTCTCTCTAAAAGCAACTGCTTTCCTGATTTTTATAGGAATAATTCCCTTCTGTTTCTTTCTGGATTCTTTTTTCACCCAAATGCACATCCCTAGACACTATCATTTAGTCAGGCCCATTTTTTTAAAAAACTTGATATCTTTTAAGTCTCCGTTAAGCCACAAATTCTCCCTCCATCTCTTTCTTTTTCTTGTAATATATCTGTTGATGAACCCAAGCCATTTGACCTGCAGAGTCTCCCAGTCTGAGTTTGCTGGTGGCAGACTCATGGTATGACTCAGCGTGTTCCTCTGCCCCTGGATTTCCTGCAAATTGCTGGCGGGATCACAAGGCACGATCAGACTCAGATTTGATCCTTTTGGCAAAATCCCAAGTAGTGTCATGGTCTTTCATCAGGGGCATCTATGGTCTGTTTTTCTGTGTTTTGATCGGAGCTCGTGCTCTTAACTACACTGCTATGGGGACACTTCCTGGCTACCCTCGGCTTCCTGAGTTTTCTTCTACCTTCTGGGCAGATTTGTCCCCCAAAACAAACCCTTCGTAGGCATCAGGGTTTATGTGGCCATGGGCCTGGCTGAAGCAAGAAGGCAGCTCCTCAGCGTTCCTATCTGAGACCCTCCACACTCCAAGGTCTGCGATGAGATGTGGCCCCACCTCCCTGTTGAGTGTAACCTCTCTCTGCTCCTCCCTCCATCCCAGTATGCCAGGCAGACAGAATTCTGCTTAGTTTCCCAAAGGGGCCATGCTCTCCCTTACCTCTGGGCCTTTGCACATGCTGTTCCCTCGACCAGAAACACCCCCCTCCCACTTCTTCTGACTAAGCACCTCTGCTTAGTCAGGTCCTTTCAGGTCCTAGTAAATCTGTCCCTTCTTCCCCACCCCTACCCCACCCCACCAGATTGGATTGGATGCCTGTTTATTTTCTTGAGATAGGGTCTCACCCTGTTGCCCAGGCTAAAGAACAGTGGCATCACCATAGCTCACTGCAACCTCAAACTCCTGGGCTAAAGTGATCCTCCATCTTCAGCCTCCCGAGTAGCTTGGACTACAAGCTTGCGCCACCATGCCTGGCTAATTTTTTTTACTTTTTGTAGAGATGGGGTCTTGCTATTGCCCAACCTGGTCTCGAACTCCTGGCCTCAAGGGATCCTCCCACCTCGGCCTCCCAGGGTGCTAGGATTACAGGCGTGAGCCACCGCGCCTGGCCTGGGTGCCTTTTAAGTACCCTCACCACTCCTAGGCTAACCTATATACTGGTAGCACTTACACCACTACCTTACACTTGTCTGTTTCCTTATCTATTTCCCCTACTAGAGTTTGAGCTCCTTGAGGACAGGGACTCTGGCTCAGGGCCTGGCACACAGTAGGCGTTCAATAAATATCAACTGAATACATGCATGCAGGAGTGAATAGTTGGACTTTATGAGTCCCGAGGCAGCAAATCCAGGCTCAGTTTAGCACCTTTAAGATGATGAGAGCTTTTCTAAGATGCCACACCCAGAGCTCCCCACCAGGGAAGGCATTAGCAGTGGTGTAGGTTGCAGAATGAATTCCTGTCTAGAAAAGTGCATCTCAGTTCTTGAAAAGTTGCAGAACCCTTTCTCAAACAATCTTACAAGGAACCCCAAAATATAAGACAAGTTCAAGGGGAGGAGTTCTAGTTTCAGCATCGGAGGAGGGAGAAGTTCTGTCCCTGGGCCTCCCCTTCCTCTGAGCATTAAGGTGCCTATGAACAGCGGCCTGGCTGTATTCTCAAGTCCCTTTATCACAGCTGCCGTATCTATGATTTTGCGGGACACACACTGGGGACAGAGGAGTCCTGGTTTACGCCTACCTCCATCCTCTCCTGTGGCATTCCCAGGGGCTCACTCTGCCAGCTGAGAGATGTCCACAGAAGCTCTCTTTCTGCAAATTGCCCACCAAGCCACTGCACTTCTGAAACAGAGTAGGTCTGGAGTCTCTGGGCAGAGCCAAGCGGCTGCAGGGGCAGGCAGGGCTGCAAGCCTGCCTAGTGAGGCGCGGAGCCAAGGGCTTAGTCTCAGAATTGGATTATTAGAGTGAATTTGGAGCTTCCAGCCTCTCTGGCCTCAGGGACATGAGGATTACCCGGGCCTCTGGCTGGGGCCCACAGTCCTTCCCACATTCCCCGCCAGGTCTGAGGACAAGGATCCTCCCTCCGCCACAGCACAGGGGGTAGGGGATACCCTGCCCACCTTGCAGCTCCAGCCTTTGGCCTCCCAGCCTCCCTTAGCTGGCTGGAGGCACACCTGCCTCCCCCGTGTCTGGGATTTACGACAGTGCTGCTCAGGTTGTGGTCCACCGACTGGCAGCATCGGCACCCTCTGGGAATCTGTTAGAGATGCGCATTCATGAACCCCACCCCAAACACGGAATCAGAATCACCGGGGTGTGGCCCAGACCTGTGGCTTAACAAATCTGCCAGGTGTTCTACACATGCTAAAGTTTGAGAAGCAATGGTTTGGAGTACACCCACTGGCCACGCCTCACATCTGCCCCAAGCCTGTCAGAGACTCTGGGCAATTTCTACCCATAAACTTCTCCTTCGGGCTTCTTCAAGGCTTCCCTGGTGGAAACTAATCACAATGATGAGAGCAGATCTGTTCAATATTGTTCAGCATTCGGGATCGCACTGCAGCCTGAACAGCAGCCTCTGGAGGCGCGCAGTGCAATGCCCAGTGCCCCCAGAGCACTTACTGTGTACAGACTCCATCTTTTACTATCCCCAAATTACAACATGAGGCTCAGAGAAAGAACAAGACGGGCCCAAAGTCACAAAGCCAGCAAACCCAGGGCCTATCCACTATACACCTTCTTCCCACGCAGCAGCAAGGACGGAAGCTGTTTTCCATGTCTGTCTCCTTGCACACACCGGGATTTCCTCCTGGGCCAAACCCTTGTCATCACTTCCTCAGGAAAGCCCTCTTCCGACCTCCCCAACCCTCCTTATTATACCCTACCCAAGGTCCTTGTGTTTTCCCTTAATAGCAGTATCACAATTTGTAACCAGAGATGACGTATTTATGTTATGTCTGTCTGCCCCACCAGCATGAAAGCTCCGGGAAGTCAGGAAGTGGTACAGACCCTTCCAGATGCTTACCCAGCACCATCCTCCTCTTCCTATTGAACCTGACTGCATTTGAGACAGCTGCGTCCCCAGCGGCAATACATTCCTTCAGTTACTGATCTCATGTTCTGGCCTATGAATGAGAATGGAAGCCGCTAGGCACATAATAGCTACTCAATAAATGCACGCTGAAGGCAGGAAGATTCAGCCAGTTCTGAGCATGCAGTTGGTGCTCAGGAAACACATATATCATCTAACCAGGCCCAAGAAGCAAAACCCACCATAGCTATCTTTCTCTTGGAAATATCTTTATTGGTTCTGAGATATCAGGGCTGAGGCGAGCTGGGACGGGCACAGAGCTAAGGAGGGCGGCAAGAGGCTTTGCCCTGGGGCGGACATGCTGTGTGGGGTCTGCTGGCGGGCTCCCTGGCCCACCCAGCCAGCAGCAGCTGGGTACATGGCACTTGGCGCCTGGCATGACCTCTGCCGGCTTGGCACTGCGGCCTCCTCGTCGGCGGGCGCCCCTCTTTCCAGTTGCAGGAGTTAGTCTTTCACAGTGCGGAGGGGTGGGGGTCCGGGGTGGGCACCGCCCCGGGGTGCAGGCAGGCCCCGTCCACTAGTGCATCCTGGGCTCTCGGCGGCTGCGGCGGGTGAGGCGAGCCCCGGCTCCTCTTCTCCCGCCTGTGGGAGCTTGGCAGTCCTGGAGGGGCCCTTGCGGCCTCAGCGGGACATCATCCGGACAAACTCTGGGAGGGCACCCGAGTGGGCAGGGAGAAAGCAGCAGTCAGGGTCTAGCCCACCATGCTGCCACCAGCCCCCTCCTGTTGCCACTGCCCCTGACTCTGTACCGGTCCTTCACAGCCACTCTGTCCCCTGGAGGCCAGAACATGCATAGCGGCCAGCGAGTGCTTTCTAAGCTGCGTACCTGACCCGTGTTTAAACCTCCCACGGATCCCCACTGGCACGTGTCCCATGTCCTGGCTCACTGATGTGGCCCCAGCTGACATCTCCAGCCACGCGTCTCATGCTCGCGCCCACCCCCCGTCTCTGCGCCCGGACCACACAGACCCCCTTTCCCGCACCTCTCACCTCCCAGCTCTCCCGCAATCTGTCCCCGCTGCCTTCCTTTTTTGTTTCCTAGATTTTATTTCTTAGAGCAATTTTAGGTTGCCAGTAAAATGGAGCTTTCCCATATGCCCTCTGTCCCCACACAAGCACGGCCTCCCCCACCGTCAACATCCCCCCCAGAATGGTACGCTTGTTACAACTGATGGACCTACATTGACACGCCATGATCACCCAGAGTTCACAGTTTCCATTCGGGTTCACCCCTGACATTGTACAGTCTAAGCGTTTGGACAAATATATCCTGACATGTATCCGCTGTTACCATGTCTTACGGTTTCACTGCCCTAAAAATCTTCTGTGTTCCACCTGTTCATCCTCCTTCCCCACTAACCTCAGCAACCACTGATCTTTTTACTGTCATCCTGGTTTGGCTTTTTCTAGAATGTTATATAGCTGGAATCGTACAGTATGTATCCTTTTCAGATTGGCTTCTTTCACTTAGGAATATGCATCAAAGGTTCTCTCCCTGTCTTTTCATGGCTTGGTAGCTCATCTCTTTTTACCACTGAATAATATTCCATGTCTGGATGTGCCACGGTTTATTTATTCATTCACCTACTGGAAGGACGCCTTGGTTGCTTCCAAGTTTTGACAATTATGAACAAGGCTGCTGTAAACATCTGTGTTCAGGTTTCTGCGTGGATGTAAGTTTTCAACTTGCTGGGGTAAACACCCCTCCCTTCTTTTTCACCTGGTGGCTCTTAGCATGTTTCAGGACTCCGATATGCATTTAAGGTTCTGTTCAGTCATTTCCCCGTCTCCATCCATCTCCTGCAGGGAGTCTTCCCTAATCCCGGCCCCCAGCTCGGTACGGGTGCCCCCTCTATATGCCACAGCCCGCTGTACTTCTCCCCGCACCACACGGGCTCCACTGTTGTTTCCGTTTTCCTCGCTGGTCCTGGGCTGCTCAAGGCAGAGACAGACCAGGGCCCAGCACACAGTAGGTGTACGATGCATCTTGGTAGAATGAATGAGAGATGCCGGGCTTTCAGGGAAGGGCTGTCATCTGTGGTGGGCTCTACCTGGACACAGGGTGACCTGAGGTTTTCAGATCCGGTGGTAGTAAAGCTTTCTCTCCGTCTCTCCACACTCTCCACCCTCCCTTGAAGGCCAACGACTTCCCAGAGAAAACCTCCCAAACTTTGTGTTCTGACAATTATGTAAAACTGGGTTTGTACCCCAGCTCTACTTCTCAACAGTTAGGCAATCTTGAGCAAGTTCTATTACTGAGCCTCAGTTTCCCCATCTGTCACATGAGGTTATAAAAGTGCAATCCATAGAGCCATTGTAAGAATTAAATGAGATAATACATGTAAAGCTACTTAGTACAATGACTGGTATATAAGTATACAGTAAATAACAACTGTTATGATTATAATTGATTCTTTAAAAAAAAACCCGTTTACTGAGCACTAGCTCTGTGCTAGGTACTTGTTATGCAGGAAATGCAGAGATAAAGAAAAGGGGACTCATCTTTTCTCCAAGTTCAGAGTCAAGTGGGAAGGCAACTGTAGCCAGCAGTTAGGGGACAGTGTGAAGAACAGTGAGCCTGAGCAGCTGTGAAAGCCCAGGAGAGAGGATGTTCAGCGTGAGGAACCAGGGAAGAAGAGCTGCAGGAAGCAGCCCCACTGCCGGGTCTCGAAGAATGACCCCTGGGCTAACAGAACGCAGCCCAAGTGAGGAACAGAATAAAAGGCATCCGGCAAAAAGATGCATATTCCAAAGAGAGCCCAGCATGTTCATGGATGGCAAGTATCTGGGTAGCGTATGAGTGAAGGAACACTAGGAGCTGTGTCTGGGGAGGTGAGCTGTGGTCAGATCTCAGGGGTCCTGAGTGTCAAGTTGAGGAATGTGGTGTTCAGGAAATACCTACCATGGATGGATGCATGAGAGGGTGGACAGGGAAATGAATAGAGACGGGTGGGGGGAGATGAACACAGGGATGGATGAATGGATGAGTAGATGCACGTACATGGGGAAATGACTGAACGGACAGATGGATAGATCAATGGAAGTAGGGGTAGAAGTATAAGATGGATGAGATATATGAATGTATGAATGGATGTACAGAAGTATAAATGGATAGAGACATGTACATGAGTAGGCAGATACTTGGGTAAATATATAGAAGAATGAACAGATGCATGAATGGATAGATAAATGCATGGATAAATGGTTATATGGATGATTGTTTAGAGACAATGAATAGATAAATAGGCATCTAGACAGATGAAGAGGTGAATGGAGGAGAGGATGGAGAGATAGATATGGAAGGAGGGATAGGTGGATGGACAGATGGATGGATGGACAGACATATCATGGATAGATGCATGAATAGATGGATGGGGAGAGATGGAAGGTGGATTAAGAGGGGTGCACAGATGGAGGGATGGGAGGATGGAGGGACGGCAGATGGAAAGTTAGGGTGGACTGATGGTTGCGTGATGGAACACACTGGAGGGCTCTGGATGGCCACCGCTGGCTTACTCCTCTCACACCTCCGAGCTCCACCTACCTTCAAAGTCCACTCGCCCATCCCCATTGAGGTCCACATCTCGGATAATTTCCTCTATGTCTCGGTGTCCCACCTGGTGACCCAGGAGCTTCCTCATGGCCTCTCGCAGCTCACTGGTGCTTATCTCCCCATCACCATTGGTGTCAAACTAGAGAGGGCAGGAAGGAGGGAGAAGTCGCCCCAACATGGACACAGGCAGCAGCAGATCCTAAGGTTGAGCTCCTCCTCCAGGGTCATTGTCTCACCTTCGCCAGAGACCTTCTCTGTCCAAGCTCCCTCCCTGTTCTGGGACTCAGGACCCAGGCTTCTTTTCAAGTAACCATCCTGGAGATGGGATTCTAACAGCCCACCCACCCCTGCCTGTCACTGTGCATTACCTCTCGGAAAGCATCTCGCAGTTCCTTTACTCCGATCATATCTGCTGTCTCTGCCAGGAGTTTAGGCCCCATGAGCTCCACAAAGTCATCAAAATCCACATGGCCACCCACTGGAGAAAGAGGAGAGGTCTAGGTCACCCACCTCTGATCCACCCACTGCCCATCTCCAACTAGGCAACCAAAGGAACTGCGATCCATCCCTGACCTGCTCATCAGACAGAGACAGACATAATAATAATAGCACCCCTGTATTCAGTTCTTACCATGAGCCAGGCATTGGGCTGTTTTACATGTTTCCTCATTTACTTTCTGTGCCCCACTCCCCTATCACAACTCCCATTTTACAGGTGAGGAAACTGAGGCCCAGAGAGGGTAAGTGGTTTGCCCCAGGTCACAGAGCCAGAAAGAGGAGGATGCAGAATTTGAACCCAGGCCTGACTGCAGAGGATTGCAAGGGTGAGGGCCAGAAGGGAAGGAGGTGCCTGGTGGAGGGACTCACGGTTCATGTTGATCTGCTGGGACAGTTCAATGAGCTCCATCTCGGTGGGCATGTAGCCCATTGTGCGCATGCAGTTGCCCAGGTCCCGGCAGTTGATGTAGCCGTCCTTGTCCTTGTCGAATTCCCTGAATGCCTCTCGAAGCTCTGGAGAAGCGCACAAAGGTGGACGTGGTTGGGGGCAGGACCCACAAGGCTTCTGGGCAAAAGCAGCCCAAGGCCCCACCAGCTTGGAGAGATGGACCCTGGAACTGCCCAGGACTCTGGGGCATTTCTCCTGCCTCCTGTTCTTTGCTCCATGGCTGGCTTCACAGAAGATGCCCTGCTCTGCACCAGGCCCTGTTCCCAGGAGCCCAGGGTGTCTCTGCCTGTCTTCCCACCAGCCTCCCTCCCCACGCCTTCCTGGAGGGCTGGATAGCCCTTTTCCCCAAGGGACCAAGTTTTACCTTCAATCTCCTCTGGTCGCAGTGATCTGTCCTGAAACAAAAGAACGTGTCCTATTAGCCGTGGCGAGGGACCTGGAAGTCACAAAATGCCCAACCTGGGGGCCATCCAAGTGGCAGCAGTCACTGGGTGGGAAGTGACACGGACGCAGCAGAGGCGTGCCTGGATCACGTCCTTGAGGGGAAAAGGCGCAGCCCCACATCTCCCATAGACATGGAAGCTCCTGGGCCCCTTGGGGTAAGAGATGGCCAAGGACCCAACAGCCCCACTGGCCTTGGCACAGAACTTCTGTGTCCCCCAGCCCCTTATTCCAGATGCAAGAATGGGTCAGGGGACAGCGTTGGTCTGGAGGCAAAAACCTGCAAATAAAACAGTGTCAGGGGGAGATCGCAAGGCAGAGAAGAGAGTAGCACCCAAGGAAACCAGGAGCAGCAGGGAGCAGAGGCCGCAAGGCAATGGGAGAAGAGGGGTCGCAGGGGAGAGACAGCAAGGACCGGTGGAAAGGGGGAGGACAAGAGGAGTCAGCGGATGTAGAGGCAGAATTAGGGTTATGCCCTGCTTCCTGGGTACTGCTCCCCTTCTCTGGTGTGACCCCCATCCCTACACCTTGCCCTGTCACAGGACACAGCATAGGACCCCGGGGACCGCCACTGTCGCTGGCTGCTGCCGGGGTCCACAGCACACGTCTCCAGCCTCAAGCAGAGCCCAGGTCTCCTTGGGGAGTCAAGGAAACCCTGAGTCTAGGCGTCAGAACAGATGGCAGGGAGACCTCCAAAGAGCAGGCCCCAAGCAGGCGCAGGCTGGTGAGGTGCCGGTCACCCCAGGCCTGCCCAGGAGGGAGACAGACTGGCACAAAATGGAGACGGGTGCCCAGCTGGATCTGGTCAGCAGGCTCCCAACGTGGTCCGCAGGGCCCATCCTCCCCAAGTGTTCCACGAAGAACATGAGGCAGGTGTCCCAGCCTGAAGAGGCTCACGGCACAGACGTGCAGACGTGCCACAACGAGCGTCGGGCGTCTCGGCTTTGCACACCGGCCATTCCACACAACAGGGCCAGGGTGGGTGGTGACAGCCACTCCAAACTGGCCCCAGGGCAAGGGACACCAGCGCCAGACAATCTGAAGATCATCTAGAAGGGGAAGGGGCTGCTCAGCAACATCTGGTGGGACAACCAGGTCACAGGACCCAGAGCTCAGAGGTGGCTGCATGGGACAGGACAGTGTTGAGAGTCTGCATGAGCTTGGAACGAGCAGGCTGCGAGCTCCCAGGTCCTCCGGGCGGTGTTTCCAGCTGAGGACAGGAGTCACTGGGAGGGAGGTGTGTCTCTGTGAGACGACTGCATGGACTGTCACTGAAAAAGCTTGTCGTGGTGCACGGTGCAAGGGCAGGTCACTGCCATTCCTAGACAGACCCATATGTTCCTAGATATTCGTGGGTGACCGAAAAGGATGTTTTTTGCAATAGGTCATCCCACCAGTATGTGAAAGCGAGTGAGCACAGGTAGATAGACACGCAGAGCACACTCACTAGGCCCGGCTACTGGGACATAACTAGTCTTTTCCCACCCGTCAGGCTTCAAGCCCCCTCGCACTTCCCCAGGGCCCAGTTCCGCAGGACTAGGAGGAGAACAGGGGCTGTGACCACCATGGCGGCCCCTCCACTCCTCTTGCATGCCCAGAGCCCAGGGAGCAGCAAAGCCAGGTGCCCCTTCACAGCACCCCCGTGGCTGTTCTCAGGATCACACCCCGCGCCCCATGTAAAGCAGCAGGGGTCTGTACAGGGATATCCACCCATGGTGCAGGGAAACCTTGTGCACCAACTCAGGGGGCCAGGTGGGAGGGGAGCATGAACACTCCTTCCTCCCCAGTTTATGTGGCTGGGGAGAAATGCCTGGGTCCTAGAGTCCAACAGACCTGGGTACAAAGCCCAGATCGGCCACTTCCTAGCAGTGGGACCTCGGGCAGGTCACTTCTGCTCTTTGAGCCACCATCTTCTCATCTGGACGATAATGAATACCTGTACCCACCTCACGGGGTCCTCGTGCACATTCCGTGAGACAAGCTTCGTAAAGTGTTTAGCGTGTGACGTTCCATAATGTTTGTATTTGTAAGGTCATCATTATTGCCTCCTTCCTGTGACGATTCAGATACCTGTAGGAGACTGTCTGATACGGTAGCCACTAGCCACATGTGACTATGTAAATCTGGATTAGAATGAAATAAAATGAATAATTCAGTTCCTTAGCTGCACGTGCCACGTTTCAAGCGGTTAATAGCCACACGCAGCTAGTGGCTACTGTACTGAACGTCACAGAATTTAGAATATTTTCATCATCTTAGAAAGTTCTACCAGATAGTTCTGTATATAGAATTAAGAGCACAGGAGGCTCTTTTGTCTGAATACTCAAGTTTGAACCCTACCTCTACTAACTGTTACCTTGAGCGTGTTACCTCTCCAACTCAGTTTCCTCATCTGTAAAACGGGCATGACAAAAGTACCTACCTCTTGCAGTTGCTCTGAGGCTTTAAACGAGGCAATCCATCGCCACGCTAGCAGAGTGCCTACCACCTAGTAAGTGCTCCAAAACAACTTATCTGCTATTATTATTTCTTGCTGGTGGATATGGACTTTGCAGCCGTGAGTGAGAAACCGTGGGGGTCAGATTCACGAGTTGGGGGTGTGAGGTGCATCCATTAGGGCACAGGGGCTGCTGTGTACAGACCTCTTCTTCTTCCCAGCACCTCCTCATGCCCTATGAAGCCAAGGTCGGGGGGCTCCACCGGGCCAACTTACGTACAGGCCGCCTGTTCTCAGCGAAGCCCTTGCGCAGGAAAATGCAGGCAGGGCCCAGCAGGTTGTGCATGACGGCGCAGTTCTGAGCCAGCATCAGGAGCGGTCCGGGGAGCTCAGCGCCAGCCGCCAGCCCCTCCTCGCTCGTCTGCACCACCATGTAGCTGGTCTGTTCCTCCTGGCGCATCTTCAGCCAGCACCAAGCAAATACAAAAGAGAGGCAGGACGTCACCTCCCTGCCCAGGCTGGTTCCTGGTCCCAGAAGGGGCTCTCCTCAAGAGAAGACCCTGGAGAGTTGAGTAGCAGCGTTCCGAGAGCCCTTAGGATGCTTGGGGGCATCACATTGGTCCAACAGATGGAGTCTCCAATCCTGGGCTAAAACAGTTGCTCCGGGACAGCCGAATGTGATACACACACACACACACACACACACACACACTGGCACACACATATGCACAGAAGCACACGCTCGTGTGCATGCAGAAGAGACAGGTGCAGACAGAGGGAGGATTCTGTTCCAATCAATGGGAAGTGTTCCCACGGAGCCTCATGGAACATCCTTTCCCAAAGTGCTCCCAGCGTCCCAGCTCAATCTCCGGGGCTAAGTCATTTCTCCCAGCTCCCAGCCTGACTTTGCCCCCCCGAGCTGGATTCCCACTGGCAGGCTGTGAAGGCGATCAGAGCTGGCAACATGGAGGACAGGCTCGGCTGGTCTGCCAGACCAGAGGCTGCAAATACGGATGCCGCCACTGCCATAAATGAAGCAGGCAGGGTGTAAGTCAGAGGTGGGGTCTGGCGCAAGGTGGGGACTGTGTTCCCTCTGAGGGGGCAGCACTATTTAACTCCAGTCCAGTGTTGCCAGATATTCTGATTTAAAGCACCAGGTGGCCAGGCATGGGGGCTCACGCCTGTAATCCTCCCACTCTGGGAGGCTGAGGCAGGAGGATTGTTTGAGCTTAGGAGTTTGAGACCAGCCTGAGCAAGAGCGAGACCCCATCTCTACTAAAAATAGAAAAATTAGCTGGGCATCGTGGCACGTGCCTGTAGTCCCAACTACTGGGGAGGCTGAGGCGGGAGGATCACATGAGCCCAGGAGTTTGAGGTTTCAGTGACCTATGATGATGCCACCACAATCTACTCAGGGCAGCAGAGCAAGACTCTGTCTCAATCAGTCCATCAATAAAGCACCAGGTGGGCCAAACAAGACACATCTCTAGGCCAGACTCCACTCAGTTTGTGATCTCAAGACTAGACACTCTCTGCTATCTGGCGGTTCTCCTTTTCCTCCCTCCCGCCTTCCCTGGCTCCTTGCCTGGCCCAGAGTGCTGGACCTCCAGAGGCTGAGGCAGGGGCCTGCTCTGCTTACCGAATATAGCTGTGCTCCCAGGCCCTGGCCAACCCAACCTCCTCCCTGAAGGTTCCCATGCGGCTATAAAAAGTCAGCACTGCCCGCAGACCCTCCCCTCAGGACAACAGCGGCACACAGATGCAACTCAGTTCTCTCCCAGCCTCCCCAGAAGCCCAGTGGCTCTGCAGAATCCAGGTCACAGCACTCTGCCTTCAGCCTTAAGTTTGGATGCCGCCCCTTGGTGTGGGGATTTGAACTAGAACCTTCCCAAGGAATGAAAGAGCAGCTGAAACCCTGAGAGCTGTCTTTGTCTGAGGACCCCAGAGCTGCGCCCCCATACTTCCGTCCTACTGTGTTCCACCTGCAGCCAGGGCAAAGGCCACGCCTAGGAGAAGACCCCAAGACTTAGGGGCAGCATGTCCCTCCAGCCTGAGAAGCAGAACAACTCCCCGTAGCACCTCGTCCTCTCCTGCTTCTTCTTTCCAAAGCCCCACCCTGAGGGGCTATAGACTGAGGCCCCCTTCCAACTACCCCAGCCCCTTCCAGGCCTAGAGAGGGAAGTGTAGTATTCTAGTTCCTCAAAGCGGAAGCAGCAACTCAGACCCAAGGTGAAGGAACTCAGCCTAAGGCTCGAGTTTGGCGAGTGCAATAAGGGCCAGTCTTAGACAATCTCAGAACCTGAGGGCCATCAGATAGGCCAACGGCCCGTTCCAGCTTCACACCCCAAAGAGTTGAGTCTCAGAGCCTCAGCTGTACTCACTCAGACTTCCAGGACCTAGGCTAGAGCTAGGGCAGAACAACAGATACCTTCCCATCTGGGAGGGTGGATCAAAGCAAGCCTTGGAGTAGACAGCGGCCTAAGCCCAGGAAAATGATCTCAGAAGGTATCTTTAGAGAGCTTTTTAGTTTCTGGAGGAATCTTGCACATTTGGCTCGAAAAGAGCACAACTGAGGAAGGAGGAGAGCTCTGATAGGCAGTTTAGCATGCTGGCTTTGGACTCAGTCTCAGGGACAAATTCTGATTCTGCCATCTGCTTGCTGTGTGACCTTGGGCAGGTCACTTCACCTCTCTGTGCTCCAGCTTCCTTCTCTGAACAATGGGGATAATCATGGCTACTCACAGGATTCCTGCGAGAAATGAATGAGCTACTGCACAGAAAGTGCTTTGCATAGTGCCTAGATCGTGGTAAGAACTGAATAAGTGGGGTTGCCATAGTGATGATGATGATGATGGTGGTGGTGGTGATGGTGATGATGCAACTTCAGAGCTGCTGGGTGCCAGGAGGCACTTACTTCTGGCTCCGGAGGAAGTGAGGGAACATCTGCCAATCAGAACAGAAATGAGAAGGATGGAGAGGAGTTCGCTGCCATGAAGAATGAGCCAGTGGCGTCCGGGGAATTTCCACAGCATCTCTTGATCATAATACCGCCTGGCACCCAGCTGCCCCGGAGGCTGCTGTTCTTCTCCAGTCAGTGATGACACCCGACAGCCTGGTCCTGCCCAGCTCAGAGCCTGAAGGGGGCCACCTCTCACCATGCCCTGTGCCCAGGCTGCCACTCAGGAAACCAAGTGGGCAGCGGCCCACGGACTGACAATGTCTCCTGGCATCAAGGGGACGTGCCTCCTGAGTGTGGCATGGCAACAGGAGGGGCCGGCATGCCTCGTGACCTAACAGCTTTCTAACAACACAAGCTGGCTGCGAGTATGCAGGTCAAAGCTCCCTCTCACTGAAGGTTCTCCAGGAGAAGCTGAGTGAGTGAGCACTTGGCAGAATGGGAGAGGGGACTGCTGCATCGAGTGGGACTCGGACTGGACAACCTCTGAGGTCAGATCTAGAAATCTATGAATAACATTTCTGACAGCAGGAAAAAGAAAGAGGCAGCCTCTCATGGAGGAAAAAATAAAAATAAAATCCCAGCTCTGATTTCATACAGACCAGGGTTTAAATCCCAGCTCTGCTTCCTGTCCACTGTGGGTTCTTAGGAAGGCTCTTATCCCTGAGGCCAGCTCCTTTTCTCTAGAAAACAGCCAAGAGAACTACTTAGCGGAGAAATGAGATAACATGTTAGATATGCTGCAGATTTTCAGTAAAAAGCACTTATTATTGTTATTACAAAAAACATGAAACTGAAATCAATGAGTTTCCTGATCTTTTACCTCTTACTCTATGGACTCAAAACCTCTTCTAGTTTCCTTTTCTCCGCCATCCTTCTCCTCTTAAACCCAGAGTGGAAAAATTATAATTACAATGACAATAACACTAACGTTTATTAAGTATTATATGCCGGGCACTGTGCATAGTGCTTTATTTAATTCTCATAATCACCTTAAGAGGTAGATATTAGCATCCCCAATTGATGGACAAAAGAATCGAGGAACAGAGAGGTTAAGTAATTTGCCCAAGGGCACATGGCTAGAAAGAGGAGATCTTAGGGGTCTGACTCTTAAGCACTCAGCTGTGTAAGGGGAAGCCGGGTGGCTGAGACAGAAGGATAGTTCTTATTCTTAAATCCGTCTCCTCAAGCTCTGGACAGAACCCATTACAAGGGCTTTCCTGTGGTCCTCTAGACTAATTCAGATCAGTTTCCGCTTCTTTGAAACAGCGTGGGGGCCACTTTCGATGCAGAAGATGCCCCTAAGAAGATAACAGATTGGGGGGTGGGGGTGTGTACAGAAGAAACAATCAGCCTTCAGAAGGATCCGAGGAACAGCGAAGATTAAAAGGAATTTGATGTGAGCAGCTTAGCCAAATGAGAAGACGAAAAGCAGAAAAGCCCGACGTGGCCTAAATTGAGTGGCTGTCCAACTGACCGGGGAGGTAGGATGGGGTCGGGGTAGAGGTGCCAATAGCTGACCTGAGACCTTAGGGAAGTCACTTAATCCCCCTGAACAGCAATCAAGTTCCTTGTCTGGAACATGGAAGAACTGGAGGAAAACATCCTTATCATTCCCTTTTCCTTTAAATACAACCTTATTAGGAGTCTCTTCTCTGGGCTTACAAAGAGGGCTAGGAAAACAGGCAGAGCCCACGTGAAGCTAAACCCTACAGACACGAGCTGAGTCTTGCATGAAAGATGCGTTCGAGATGATTATTTGCTTTCCAATGGAATTCTTGCAAAAAAAATTTATCCTAGTATATGAGCAATAAATCCACTGTAGAAAGTGACTTATATGCACCTCTGCTCAACATATCTCCTGGCATCCTATTTCTTAATGGAAACAGTCCCGGGCGCTAAACCACTCTAGTCCTACTTGAGATTTTCTGTCTTAACTCAAGAATGATTGGGGGTCGAAGAGATACCCTGCTTGGTTCCTCTCAGTAGCAAAGGGATCTACGGCAAAACGTACAATTTTGAAGGCTTAGAGATCAGCAGAGAGGGTCACAGACCCTCAAAGGATATGAATGAGCCCCTGGTCCTGCTTCTGAGACGGGTCTTCAGATCCTGCCAGTTTCAAGGGGGTCTGTCCACTGATATCCTAAGGATCCATGCTTTTCATTTCACATCCCAGAAGCCCCGAAGCTACAAGGTTTCTTTTCTAAATTTCGTGCAAATTCCCAATCACATTCCAGCCTCCCCCCATGCCCAAAGCCCAGGACGTAGAAAACTGTGATAGGAGGGTGTCTGGAGGTAGGAACAGGGAAGCTGCTCTGGATAGCACCCACGGGAAGGGTAGCAAGCTTCAGAAGCCCACCCCTTCCAAGCCCATCCTCTGGGACAGAGAGCAAGACACCCCAATTCCCAGCCCCGGGTCTTGGGAACTCCAGAAACATACCTTCCTCGAGAGGTTTCTCAGTGGAGACTTCACACAGTTGCCCATCCTAAGTCGAGGCAGCCCCTCTTGGGATCCCGGGGTCCATGAAGGAGGCTCCTTGGGGGCTAAGGGACCTCAGTCCCCATCCCTGCCAACCCAGCCTCCCTCTGCCTGCGCCGCTCTTCCTCCAGGACCGATGTGAGCCCTCTCCTGCGCGCGTGCTCTCTTACTCGTCTGCCTGCTCCTGTTCACCGATTTTTTTTTTTTAGTGGATAGTGTGTGTGTATGTGTTTGTGTGTGGGCTTAACTTTCTAGGCACTTTCCTAAGGAGATGAAGGCAGAAGGAGAGAGAGTGCAGGGCACAGAGAAAATCATGCGGAGAGCTGATGGCAGAGGGCAGCAGAGCTGGAGGAGGCTGCCCGGTCATCTCCATCAGATTACAGCTGAGTCGTCTCTCTCTCTGTCTCTCTCTCCGGTTCTCTCCCTTCCCTCGGCCCCTCCTCTCCGGCTGCCAAATCTGCAGGGAGATTGCCTCAGGGAGGGGGGCCCAGAATGGCAGCTGCAGCTGGGAACTAGGCCAGCAGACCTAGAAGGGGAAGCTGGCTAGTTTGGGCCCCCAAAGCCAGGCTGCCCAGCCTTGTGTGAGCTCGCGTGTGCACACACACACACACACACACACACACACACACAAACATGCAGGTGCGCATGCGTGCATACACATGCAAGCACAAGCATGCAGAGAGATGATGCCCTTTCCAAGAGCAGTGAGCTGGACAAGCACACATCCTCATTGCCCCTGGCAATTCCAGCTGGATTGAGAGCTGCGGTTCCAGTTGAGGGCCTGGGAGGTCTTGTGACGTCTCCATCACGCTCCATTTTTCCGCACTTGCCTCCTCGCTGAAATGGGACAGGGCTCTGGACCACGGCACAGCTGAGCCAACAGCCCAGATCAAACCCTTCTGGTCCCTTTGCTGTGTGCCATCTCAACGACGAAAGGGAAACCAAGAGATGGCCCTGAGGGGGGCATGGCAGAGGCAGCACAGGCGCAGAGGGAGTGAGCCAGGTCTCCGAACCTTCTCCGCTTCTCAGCCTCATCCTGAGCGAGGACCTCTCACCAGCTTCCTTGGGGTGCCGAGCAGAGAGGGAGCCCTTTACAAAGCGGTCTTCAAGGTCCCACTGCTGGAACTTCGTAGGTGACTTGCTCTTCCTGGTCCCTCCAGTGTCCAGCTTTGATATGAATTCATCTCAAGCCTCAAATGTCCCATTTGAGACCTACAGCCTGAGCCAGATGCCCCAAAAGAGGAAGTGTGCCTGTTTCCCTGCACCCAGCTTTTCCCAGCACGGGTGGCAGAGAGACAGGCAAGCAGAACTCCTCCCAGGCGCTGAGGCAGCCAGCTCTTACATGCGCAGCTGCAAGAGTTCTCAGCCTGGAGAGCCTCCTTTCCCAGGGACTTCTGTCCAGTTTTGGGAGGCTGGTCAGAACTCCCATTAGGGAAGACAGGTGGGGGTGTTGCGGGCGCTGCCCAGAGAGTGGCACAGGCTCACTCCTAGGAAGCTGGGAGAGTTACTCAGCAGTCTCTGTTGGGGCCGAACCTCTGGAGGGGGAGATGGAGGAGACGCCACCCCCTGAGGACAGAGGGCGGAGCCTGGGGGTGAGTCCTGGCTCTGCAGCTCCTGACTGGGTGGCCACCGCCCATTCCTGAGCTTGTTTCTTCCACTGGAAAACGGGGCTTCCCCTACCTTGCTTATAAATTATACATGGAAAAGTGTGAGGCACATAATAGGCACCAGACAAGTAATTATTAAAATGGAAGAAAGAAGTATCCATGTGTCCAATGTATAAATGCCAGGCACTGTGTTTGGCTCTGGGGATGTTGTGAGAAACAAGGTAAACATCACCTCTGATTTCAGGGAGCTTACATTCTAGCAGATGGGCAAGAGATATTAAAGAGCGATAAACATAATCATTTAATTGTATTTCGGATAAATGCTATGAACGGGAAGCACAAGAATTTTGAGGATGTGACTGAGTCTGGAGGTCAGGAAAGACTTGTAGGTAAAATCTAGAAAACGGACCATCTGCAGATTCTTTTGAAACGATGGGGCTCACTAGGGACCCCAGAAAGGAGACTGCGTTAGGCTCCAGGTACAAACCCAGCTCATATTAATTAATGGTAGGTACGTGCAAAGGCAGTGAGTGTAAGCGGAGGCGCCAGTGCCGGCTGTAGGTTAGAAGCACTGGGGAGCTTCCCCCGAAATTCTGATTTAATAAGTTTAGGTGGGCGCCGGACACCGGTGTTGTTCAGTACTCCCCAGGTAACTCTAACCTGCGGCCAGCTCCAAGAACCACTGATGTAGAGGTTAAGAGCGTGGAATGCAGAGTCAGACTGACTTAGGTTCAAATCTTTCCCTGTAGCTTAGTAACTATGGGACCCTGAGGACATGTTGATCTTTCTGAGTTTCAGTTTCTTCATTTATAAAACGGGAATTCCAGTAGCACCTCTGAGAGGACTCTTGTGAAAAGCTAATGAGATAATGCATGCAAAGGGCTTGGCACCGTGCCAGGCACCTAGAAAGGGCCCCCTTCCCCTGCCTGGCATTGGTCTTAAAGGGCCAGGTGTAGCATCCATTCATTCAGCAGGGCATCCGCTCAATCAGACTTGGTGACTCCTGCCCCCTGCAGGTCAGCCCTGGGCATAGCACCTACTTGTCGACCTTGTGATATGCCTCTGTCCTTCAAAACAGGAGACAGGAGATGGCAAAACCAGGCCCCTATGGAAAAGTCACGCCCTTTGATGAAATCCATTCTGCTTTGGGGTTAGGGGTAGGGGCTGACACTAGACAGGAAGGGATCCAGGGATTCAGATCTGGTGCTTACTTAAGCTAACTTCAGCTGGGCAGGTGGGCAGGTGGGACAGAGGGCTTGACCTTTGGTAAGAAATTAAAAAGGGCTGAATGGTGGGGGCTTCCCTAAGGAGTGAAGCATGTCACCTCCCCGCTTCCACTGCCCCATTCCTATCCACTTGGCAGCTGTCCCTGGGTCTCCGGAAGCCACACTTTGCGTCCTGGAACGGAATAATAGGATCAGAGGGATGAGAAGGATAAACTCGTTGCTGATTATGCCTGATTAGGAGGAAGCTGGCCTTGGCCCTGGTCAGTTCTATCACCAGCATTTGAACTTGGACGACAGCCCAGTGCTAAGGCACTCGGGGAAAGCTGGAGCGTAACATGAGAGGGGCTTTGCAGATGCTTCTGACAAACAGGGAACGCACTTAGGTGACTCCCCACCAAACCAGCATGGTACACACAGCCCAGGCGGGTATGTTTGGAGACAGGCAGACCACGACTCTTACTACAGTCCTGCCATTTACTGACTGTGTGACCTTTGGACAAGTCACTTTCCTCTCTTGAGCCTTCCTCATCTCTAAAATGGGGGATGATGGCCCAGTGTGGTGGCTCACACCTGTAATCCTAGCACTCTGGGAGGCCAAGGCGGGCGGACTGTTTGAGCTCAGGAGTTCGAGACCAGCCTGAGCAAGAGCGAGACCCCGTCTCTACTAAAAATAGAAAGAAATTAACTGGATGACTAAAAATATATAGAAAAAATTAGCTGGGCATGGTGGTGCATGTCTGTAGTCCCAGCTACTTGGGAGGCCGAGGCAGGAGGATCTCTTGAGCCCAGGAGTTTGAGGCTGCTGTGAGCTAGGCTGACACCATGGCACTCTAGCCCGGGCAACAGAGTGAGACTCTGTCTCAAAAAAAAAACAATCCTTTTGGACTGTACATACCTTTACAGCTTTAAAAGAATTTTCACAGAAAGCCTCTCACTTGCCTTTCTTTAAGTGTTACACAAATTGTAATTATTAAATAATTATATGTTATAGTATTTGACTGTATAACCACTGGTGAAAATTATGCAAAAGAGGAGCTGTTTTGAAGCACTGGAAAGACATCGCAGCTCACAAGGGCGGTTTAATGGAAACGGTGGGTCTGGGACCACTGCATCAGGCTAAAGTGAACAGTTTGTGTAGCTGTCTTTATGTCCCATGTCTTAATCCATTCAGAGAGAATAAGGTAGGGTTAAGAGCAAAATTCCTAAAATATACACGGATCTCCCATTTCACAGATGTCAGTTTGATAATGTCATGTCCTGGGAGCAAACCCCTTTAAAAATTGCTCTTTTCTGACCAAGACTGTATGTCATGTTTAGAGTCCTGAAAAAGGTTGTGGGTTGTGGAGCATTTTCACGGTGGTGCTTCAGTTCATTCTCTGTGACGTTCCTTGTCTAGCTTGTTCCTTTCTGCCGTTGTCAGAATCAAATTCTGTACTTAATCTCCCTTTGTTTTCAGATGACACAGTCTCTCTGTTAGGTTGCAGAAAGCTGGGATTACAAAATGTTCTTATGGTTTTAAGTCCTTTGTAGTGATTGGGGAACTCGGGAAAGGGCTGGGTGAGAATTAGGGGGTAGGGACACAGTCAGAGGACTAAACAGAGAATTCCTTTCCGAAAATCTGCCTTTGGACCTACATGTTCATCACTTAAGAGGATTCCAAGATTTTTAAAATAAAAATGAAAAGGGGTGTGGGTTACAAGAATATATACATGTGTTAAAACTGAACTATATACTTAAGGCTGTACATCTCACTGTGTATAAATTATAACTCAATAAAAAGAAAAACAAGCAGGACAGAATACTGACAAGTAGAATGGTCTGTTGGACTGTCTTAGGGATATGAATCGCAACTTTCAAAATAGTGGTGACAACTCATTTGGTTACAAGGGCAAAGGAGAGAAAAAGTATGGATGAAGGAAATTCTGTTCCCAATCAGATGACTGGTTAGAAGTTACCATCTTCTTTTAAAAACAGCACATTTGATCTCCAAATATTAGAACATATTGCCGCCATCATTTCTCATTCAGAATATTTCCCCCTTTCTTTCCCTAATCCAGAGTGGTCCCCAACCTCTCTGAGGCCTTAACTGGATGCACAAAGTAATCACCCTGCTGTGCTTCGCCACTTTACACTGACGCCAGCCACCCCAGTACTCCAGCAGGGCAGAGACACGCGACGACAAGTAGACGACACGCCAGGAGTCACCCATTACATCTATGCAGTTTCCATTAGATGAAATGCAACCCATGTTCAGATGACCTAACGACACTCCCGCCACGGTGGCCTCCTTTATTTTCTGTC